AAAAGTCAACCCACACGGCATATGTGGGAAGGCGGCCTAGCTGATCGGGTGGAGATCAGACGCCATATTGCGCATATGGTGGTACTACTCTTGGTAACAACTTTCTTTCGCATCATATGTCAAACCACATTGTTCGTGGGGAGATGGCCTAGCCGATCGGGCGTGATCGGACTCCGTGCTAACAAAGACGGTTGTGGTATATCGGTGCTAATGATCTCCTAACCAAAATTATATATAAAGTTCGTATTTTGAAAATTATTATGTTTAACTGGACGTTTGGATATTGTTGATTGTGACTTGCTGTTTCTATGTGTTGCCTTTTATTATATGGGCATTCTATTTTGAAATAGGATTTTTAGCTATACATACTAGTGCTATTCGACAGTACTAACGTCCCTTTTGCCGGGAACGCTGCATCTTTAATGGATGCAGGTGGTTCTTCAGCAGACGGTATTGATAAGTGATAGCAGTACACTCTTTTCAGCTGATTTGGTGAGCCTCACTTCATTTCGGGGTCATGTATCTTGTGTTTCTCATGTACAGTGTTTTGAGGTATAGCTGGGGCCTTGTTGCCGACATTTTTATATTACTCTTCTATTATACTTAGAGGCTCCGTAGACAGGTTGTGGGTTATGGTTGATGTTGGGAATTGTACTAGAAATGTTGGTACTTAGATTATGTTTTTTATTAATTCTATAAACTCGTAATATTTTGGAAATTATGAATGAAGCTACTAATGGGAATGAAAAGGGAAGTTGTTAATAAAAAGCTTTTTAGTGATTGATTAATGGAGTACATCTCCTCTTTATTCATGGATGAGTTTGGATAGAAGGAAGTCTAATAGGCTTGCTCGGCCTGGTTCTCTCGGTTGAGCGTCGGTCGCGCTCCCTGAGTTTGGGGCGTGATAATGAGCCTGAACAAGATCTAGATATAAGAAGTGCATTGAATTTGTTAACTCGGTTGGTAGACTCTCAGGCCTAGTGCCAGGCCNCCCCCCGGCATTCACAAGAACAAATCCAAATACAGATCCTCGAAACTTTGTAGATCAAGTGTATAGGACTTTACGAGCGATGCATGCCACTTATATTGTGTTGGTAGAACTTGCATCTTACATGTTAAGGGATATAGTTGTGTTGTGGTATGAGGCTTGGGAACAATCTAAGGGACCTCTTGCCCCAGCAGTAGGATGGAGGGAACCTTCTGAGGCATTCTTGCAGCAGTATATGCCCATTGAACTCCACCAAGCTAGGAAAGATAGATTCTTGCGATTGGAGCAAGGTATTATGAGTGCCTGCGAGTACAACATGCAATATAACTCCTTGGCTAGGTATGCTCCTGCGGTGGTGGCCAAGAAGAGTGATAGGGTACATCGATCTGTGGCCGATTTGGGGCCGCATCTGATAAACGAATGTACCAAAGCTTCTCTAAACCCGATTATTGATATTGCCTATATTCAGGACTATGCACAAAACATAGAGGGTCATAAGAGGCTATAACAAGCTGCACAAGAAAACAGATAGGTTCAATCTAAGAGACCCCGGTACATGGGAGACACTGGTGAGTTTCAAGGCGGGTTTAGGTCCCATTTCCTCCACATTTACCTAACTCGGTAGCTAGCATGTCATCAAAGTCCTAGGGCCACCATCGAGAATGGACCACTTATTGCAATCGGGGCTAGAATTTCTGAGGGAAGAGTTCTTAGAACAATAGGGACCCTAGAAGGGCGAGGCCCCCAATGCCATGATGTAGTCGATGTGGTAGGAATAATTTTGGGAAATATCGCCAAGGTTCAGATTTATGTTATTCTTGTGGGTAGCCCGATCATATCATGCGCTTTTTCCCAATGAGCAATGTGGGTGACATGACACCGTCAATAGGACCAGCAACAACTT